ATAGTAATCATATCCACTTCTTGGAGAGGCTAAATTTGATCAAGCTTATAGACTAATAAGAAATAAACCTAGAATTCAAACCCAGACATAGTTCACTCCAATTCTCATCTATTTTTCATTGCTATATTGAGATCACTAAAACCATTCTAAGTATAAACTGACAGTATGTTATTTAATCTTTTTTTGTTCTGTGAAATGGGTAGTTGAACATTGAGCCCTAGACCGAAATCTATGTGATGAAATATGTAGAAAAGTTAGCGAAATGGATGGTGAATTAGAAAATTCAGAAATCTCCCAGTGGGGGTTGCTCAGTGGTTGAGCATCGACCTATGATCCAGGAGGTTATGGTTCCATTCCCAGTCAGGGCCCATGCTCAGGTTACAAGCTCGAACATAGTAGGGGGCATGCAGGAGGCAACTGATCAATGATTCTCTCTCATCACTGATGTTTTTATCTCTCTCTCCCTCTTCCTTCCTCTATGAAATCAATAAAAATGTTTTTTTTTTAAAGAAAATTCTGAAATGATCTGAGATACTTCAAACAAGTACCACTCAGACATCCTTTGGAGCCTCTACCTTCAGGCTTGATATATTTCACTACCATTCTAGGAAGTGGTACCACTTATTAACATTTAATATTAAAGGGTTCTGCACCCTTTGTTGGTTCAATTCCAGGTTCTAATACTTTCTCGTCTGCTGTTTTAGTTTCCTCATCTGGCAATGGGGGATAATGAGGTTCTCCTCCTCCTACAGTTGTCAAGAATATTAAAAATGATAATTTACCACTTTAGCTGGTTTGGCTCAGTGGATAAAGTGTCAGCCTGCAGACTGAAGGGTCCCAGTTTGATTCTGGTCAAGGGCACATACCTGGGTTACAGGCTTCTTTCCTTCAATGGAAAAATATCTTTGGGTGAGAATTAACAACAAAAGATGATAATTTACCTTAAGCCTTAAATTCAGAAGTTGCCTGGCACACAGTAAGTGTTTGATGACTGCTAACTAATATTTCCATTAAGCCAGAATGCAAGGCCCTTTGTGTTGCAGACATACTCGACCCTTAATTTGCCTTGTGTTGGGAACTTGGCTAGATTTGTCCATACATGATTTTGTCCAATATTTAACAACAACCCTATTAGCTAGATATTACCCTTGTTTTCAGGCATATCAAGTAGTTACATCATCACCGTCACCATCATCATGATTATCATAATCACATTTTTCTTCATTTTGTATTATTTTCTAGTTTTATAGAGAAGTAATCCCTTCATATAGACCAGGGGTGGGGAACCTTTTTCTGCCAAGGGCCATTTAGATATTTATAATATCATTCCTAGGCCATACAAAATTATCAGCTTAAAAATTGACCTGCTATATTTGGTCAAACATTTCCTAGGCCTCATAAGGCCCAAGGGCTTGATGTTCCCCACCTCTGATATAGATGAATAATTTAAATGAAGGACATCAACCTGGGAAGAGAGAGAGAGAGAAAGACTTGTAACAGGAGCAGAGGTAAGAAACAGGCCATTTAGGTTTCAGGTGTGGGTTTCTGTGTTACAAAATCTGTATATTGCACCAAGTGCCCACCACCCAAAGCCAAATCTCCTGTCACCTCAATTAATTTAATAAATAAATACGTATTTTTTAAATGAAAGAAACAGGCCATTCAGTTTTCTACTTCTAGCTGCAATATCTTCTTGAGACACAGCAGCACTGGAATATTTCTGAATTTGCCCTCTTTCATTATAATGCAACTAGAGGCCCAGTGCACAAAAATCATGCACTGGAGGGGGGGGTCCTTCAGCCCAGCCTGCACCCTCTTGCAGTCCAGGACCCGTCACTCCTTACCGTCCACCTGCTCCCTGCTCCTTACCACCCGGCTGGCTGCTCCTTAGTGTTGGCTTCTGGCTGAGTGGTGTGCATACTGACCACCAGGGGGCAGCTCCTGCATTGAGCGTCTGCCCCCTGGTGGTCAGTGCTCATCATAGTGACCAGTCGTTCGGCCATTCAGTTGGATTTGCATATCATGCTTTTATTATATAGGATACCTTTTTTTGGCTCAAGCTACTGTTTCCTTGTAAGTTAAGAAGTCCTAATTGCTACTGTATGGGGGAATACAGAGAATTAAAGTCCCAGATGGGCCTGGCCAGTATTTCTCAATGGTTTAGCATCAACCTATGAACCAGGAGGTCTCTGTTCAGTTCCCAGTTGGGGCACATGCCTGGGTTGTGGGCTTGATTTCCAGTGGGGGGTGTGCAGGAGGTATTGTTGATGTTTCTGTCTCTCTCTCTCCCTCTCCCTTCCTCTCTGAAATCAATAAAAAATATTTTTTTAAAATATATTTTATTGATTTTTTACAGAGTGGAAGGGAGAGGGACAGAGAGTCAGAAACATCGATGGGAGAGAAACATAGATCAGCTGCCTCCTGCACACCTCCTACTGGGGATGTGCCCGCAACCAAGGTACAGGCCCTTGACTGGAATCAAACCTGGGACCTTTCAGTCCATAGGCCAATGCTCCATCCACTAAGCTAAACCAGTTAGGGCAATCAAAAATATTTTTTAAAAAGTCTCAGATGATATGATGGATGGTCTTTGAACAAAGAATTGGTTTGTTGTGTGTATACTAAGCCATTTGCTATATTGAATTTTTATGTGTTAAAGTAAAAGTAAATAGAATACATTACATTAAGAAAATATGCATAAGTCAACCCCCATATCTTAACAATTTCTATCTATTTATCTGAGGTCATACCTTATTTTATTGTGCTTCACAGGTATCACCTTTCCAGCAAATTGAAGGCAAGACCGTCCACCTGCAAAATTATTAAGACTCACTTTATTGTGATACTTCATTGCTGGGGTCTGGAACTAAACCCACAACAACTCCAAAGTATGCCGGTATCTGTCTATCCCTTTATCTGTACATATGAATATAAATAATTCTGGATTGATATTTTCTAATATTACTAATCATTTTTTGGTGATGAGACACTGTTATTTTACTTTCTTCTTTGTAATTTTATATTTGCACTGGATTTTTAATAGTGTAAAGATATTAAAAAGAGTCACTTATTTAAAAAAGGAAGAAGGAAGGAAGAAGAGAGGGAAGCAAGGAAGGAATAGAAAGGAAGGAAGGAAAGAAAAGAGAAAAGGTAGTTTATAAAGGTAGAATTCTGGGTCAGAAGTCACAGTTCTTCACACAGGTGACCTGCTCAATCTATCATAGCTTTGACTATTTCATTAACTGCCCTGAGACACTTTTCATTTCTTGCCCAGGGACACTTGGGAAATTTACTATTTTTTATTTATTGACTTATGTGTGACAAGAAAGTGTCAACATTTAGAATAACTTTAGTTTTTTAATACTGCTTCCTAGTGTAAGATTATGGAAGACATATTTAGTAACAATTAAGGTTCCAAAGTTAAAAGTGGAAATTTAACCCTTGGCATATTAAAAGATGAGTGTCAAATAAAAAGTTATCTACACACACACACACACACACACACACACACTGAACTAAATTTGCATACCTGTAAACAATGACAGCTCTGTTACAATTTAGGCTAGCCCCTTTGGGTTTTGATTTGAAGGAGCATCTTGATTTCAGAAACATTAAAAGGTGGAGAGGAAATAAAGTGTGTCTTGAATCAAGACACTGTAATGTTTATTGTTTTTAGCAGAACGCAGGGCTAAACCATGAACTAAGGATGGCCATATAGATTGAAGTCTACCTTTTATCTAGGATTCTAATTGCCAATACTTTCTATGCATTCCTAGTATCTATAATTTATTGATAATTTAAATTCTTCATAGTAAATTAAACTACCTTGCTATATATATCATCAAAGAATAAGAACCCTACAAGATGTGTCATGAACTATTTACCAATTCATTAATATATGCTTTTCTATGTTAATTACTTAAAAATTGGCAATTTATATGAACCATATTTGGAAAAATTCCCTTAGTTAAAAAGAGTGTAATCAAATAAATTGAACCAGCAAAGTCTTGAATCAAGCAAGTTGAAGTCCTCCCTAAATATCATGCTTCCATTTCTATAGATAAAGCAACTATGACTTAAAGAATAGTTTTCTAAATTCATGGCAAAGTCAGGACCACAAGCCACACTTCCTGTCTTCTGCCCAAGGCCCTCTCCACTTTACCATCCTATTACAATGCATCTTATTCCTTGACCTGTAACAGGTAACTAAAATTTTACAGTAAAAAACTCAACCTGTTATTGAGAGGAAACAATTATATAGTTGGTCAAAATGAGCTTATCATCCATAGGGTAACAGATAAGCAATCCATTCTGCCAGCAGGGCCCAGGGTCCCTGCCCCAGTCCTCCCTGGCTTATCTCTGAACCTGTTCCACACTTAGAGCTTACTGGTCAGACCTACTCCTATGTGGATTGGGAAATAGAATAGATTAACTGGTTTAATTAAAATGACAACAAAAGCATTGTATGTATTATCAAAAATATATATATTATTTTGGCCTAAAAGTTTCCTTCTGGGAGCCCAGGAGGGATTATTGTGGAATGTTCTGCATTCTAAAGGCTATGTTTGTTTTCAGTACATTTTAAGTGGAATATTTTTCACCCTTCTGAGTAGGACAGACAAAGGCTTTAATTAAACAAACGTCACATGGGAACTCTTGCCCCAAAAGCCTTTATTGGCCCTAATTAGCAGATGCAGCTGTAGACTCAATATTAGATGGTCTGTTTATTGTGTCCATTTATATCCTACTCATCAGGGAGCATGTGCAAGGCACCCCAGAATTATCAGGCTTAATTAAAATTCACTCAATTGCTAGAGAAAACATCCCATGTAAAAATGGGTCAGGAAAAAGAGGAAGATTAAAAAAAAGAAGGAGAAGTCTACTGGAACTATTACCAAGGCTTCTCTGGGAAAACAAAAGGATGATTTGATTGCCTGTAACCGCCTGGGACAACACATACATTTCGGGGCCAGGCTGACTATACAGACAGGGGAACCACTGAGGTAAAATGTTTCCCTCCTCTGTCCAGGCAGAGCTCCTGGGGGATCCCCAGGGGTCCCCTAGGTTTCATTCTAAGCAGACTGGGGAGGAGGAGCGGCACGTTTCGTTCATCTAGGCATGTGAATTGAATTCATCATTTAAGGAATTATACAACACTCGCCGAAACCGGTTTGGCTCAGTGGATAGAGCGTCGGCCTACGGACTGAAAGGTCCCGGGTTCGATTCCGGTCAAGGGCATGTACCTGGGTTGCAGGCACATCCCCAGTAGGAGATGTGCAGGAGGCAGCTGATCGATGTTTCTCTCTCATCGATGTTTCTAACTCTCTATCTCTCTCTCCCTTCCTCTCTGTAAAAAATCAATAAAATATATTTAAAAAAAAAAAAAAAGGAATTATACAACACTAGATCTGAAAGGCCCTAGAACAGTGGTTCTCAACCTTCTGGTCCTTTAAATACAGTTCCTCATGTTGTGACCCAACCATAAAATTATTTTCGTTACTACTTCATAACTGTAATGTCGCTACTATTATGAATCGTAATGTAAATATCTGATATGCAGGATGGTCTTAGGCGACCCCTGTGAAAGGGTCGTTCGACCACCAAAGGGGTCGCGACCCACAGGTTGAGAACCGCTGCCCTAGAAGGTTGACTTCATGTATCTCAGATACAATATTTAACAAAATTACTATTACTGCTTCAATTTTTTTGCTGTCCTTTGTGTTTTTTGCATCTTCTAGATAAAATACCTGAGGCTGAAAAATGCCAAGCCCTTCCCAAATGTCATACATAGAGTCAGTACATGATAGAATCAGCATCTAAACTTCTGTCTGTCCCCTTTCTGTACACTGCAGGGCTTCTCCTGTATTAGTTATAAGAATTTAATATTGTGGCCAATAACTTGTTAATGTGGATAAATGAGCTGGAGCCTTGCAGACGGACACACTTGAGATTAAGCCCTTCTCCTTTTCTTAGCTTCTCTAAGCCTCAGTTTCTTCATGCATCAGAGTAGGATGATAAATAATTCTTGAAAACTGGATTATGGGGGATCAACTTTGTGAGAAGATTTTGGCTTTTGGAAAACACTTGATAAATACTATTTCACATCTTGTTTTTACTTATAGTCCACCGAGACCTTATTTGGAAGACACTTTGAGGTGGAGAGTTCTTCACGTCTCTTTGGAGTGTCCTTGGGCCTGCTAACACAGAGGCCCTTCCAAGGGTAAGATGGGCTGCCATTCACCCTGAGTGCTCTACAGAAAGATAAGCCTCCTTTATTTGTCCTCCTTCCCAGGGAAGCCATTGTTGGGGATGTCTCTCTTCAGTATAAAAATTGTAAAATGTGAAATAGACAGTGACCAGACAATAATGGGAAAGCGGTAACAGTTTAGAATAGACTGTTTGAAATGTCCCAGTGAAGCCCCCCACTTCCCTCCTTAAAGACAGAGCAGAATCAGCTTGTGTCTCTCTGTGGTTTGAATGCTCCAACATAAATTGAAATACTCCTTTACATCTATAAAGGATATAGTTTTAGCCGAAACCGGTTTGGCTCAGTGGACAGAGCGTCGGCCTGCGGACTGAAAGGTCCCAGGTTCGATTCCGGTCAAGGGCATGTACCTGGGTTGCGGGCACATCCCCGGTGGGAGATGTGCAGGAGGCAGCTGATCGATGTTTCTCTCTCATCGATGTTTCTAGTTCTCTATCCCTCTCCCTTCCTCTCTGTAAAAAATCAATAAAATATATTTTTTTAAAAAAGTGCTATCTCTTTAAAAAAAAAGGATATAGTTTTAGCTTTAAAATAGTCAATTTTGTAATCCTTAGTATATGTGTTTTCTTAATTGAAAGTCATTAAAATAAGTCTACTCCCCTCCCCCTGACCTTTGAAGTCATCCAATCCCATCTATGCTCCAGAAGGTGTTCTTTCTGTATTTTGTGGTCCCTCATGCCTCCTTGTGACGTCCCTAAGAACTCCTGGGGAATTCTGGCATTCCAGCCTAAGAATGACATGTCTGGGGAGTATTTTAAGGAAGATAGAAGTAAGCCAAATCATGATTTTTGCTGTCTGAAAATTATTTCTGAAGTGATCGTCATGAAAATAAATTCCCTTTTGGCATTAGACCTACCATTCTGATAGTGGTCCTTAGGAGGGCAATTATTTCTAGATGAGGACAACAGAGAGGCAAGAGGAAAATAATTTAGGTTCTACGCCAACTATGCATTTTCCTATAAATGTTACTGTCTATATGTTGGAATATTAAGTATATAAAAAAAACTCAGTTAACTTACTATTCAAATGAAAGCAAGATTTAATGAGACATCACGACACATCGTAGTGTGGGGTCTCCCAGTTTTGTAATCTATTCCATTTTCAGGGTTACTTTTAATGTGGATCCTGTGGTACGTTGCTCAGATCCCGAAGCTCGCAGTCTCCCAGTTTCCCCAGCTACACTGAGTATTGCCTGATTAGGGCTCCCAGGTTAGGCTTGCCTCCCTTACCGCAATCCAGAACATCCCCGAAGGCCGTCCCAGATCCAGGGCTCCAGGACAAATTGGTTCTGTTATTATTGCATCACAAGTCAAATTTTCTTCTTATGCAATCAGGCTTTCCATATGCCTTCACAGATGCTGTTCCTGCAAAAAAAGAAGAAAAAAAAAGTTTTCCCTAAGGGCTGTTTACTGGGGAACCCAACCTATGACAGCTTCTCACACTACTGAGTTAATGCCTTCATTTCTGCCTTCACAGTGATTTCCCACGTTTCATTAGGACCATATCTGAATTTAAATGTGAAAATCAAGTAACAACTATGTGAATCTGAGACATCATTGGTACATGCATCGGTATCTACAGTCAGCAAAGTGCTATTTCTAATTCAATTAGTTTCAGTGAGAGCATCTAGCTGAGAGGCACATAGCTGCTTGCATTTACATATTTAATCATATTTGCTTTTCACAG